TCACCTGAGCAGCGAGGATGCCGTTGATAACGTTTTGCAAATGCAGTAACTAGTTTCCCACACAGTAACTTACTCACTTAGTCACACATCCTGAAAAAGTCAGCCACCTCAGAGCAGTAGAAAATATCAGTCTCTTACGCAGTGTCTCAAATACTGAGTGCAGTACCTGAAAGATATAAATGGATACAAGACAGTGCTAGTAAATTAATAATTTATAGAAAACCAATTATGAGTTTGCAAATGCAGTAACTAGTTTCCCACACAGTAACTTACTCACTTAGTCACACATCCTGAAAAAGTCAGCCACCTCAGAGCAGTAGAAAATATCAGTCTCTTACGCAGTGTCTCAAATACTGAGTGCAGTACCTGAAAGATATAAATGGATACAAGACAGTGCTAGTAAATTAATAATTTATAGAAAACCAATTATGAGCTGAATAATTTGAATTGAATTAAAAATATTGCTTCGTATGTCAATATTGCTTCCTTCTCAATTTCAACAGGGCCTTCCTATTCACCAGGAAGAAGCTACAGTGTTTAACACTGGCTGAAAATGCCAAAATGACAGTGACATTCAACAGCACAGAAGCAGTTCTTTATGAGAAGAAAAGTATGTATATAGTAAGACTACTACTACTTTACCTCTCTATTACTCTACTACTCTACTTCTCTACTACTTCTCTAATTTTCTGTGTAATAACTCAGTCAAGAATTATTTAACTAAAATATTGTATTGGCTGATAATTGCAGTGTTTGGTTGTTGGGGGTTTTTTTAAAATTATAATCAAATGTTCACATTTTGTAAGCTGGTTTGTTTATACTTAATTCTTATTGTATGGCAGGCTCAGATAAGCGGCTTGGTTTAAGATTATTTTTTGAATTAATTAATTAATTAATGCTTTTATAAGTTTTTAATAGATGTTATATAGCTGGAAAATATAAATTCTAAGTAGGCTATCTTCATAAGTTTTGTGGGAACATAGATAATGCAGTCACAAACACTAAATTCAATTACTCTTCTGGGAAAAAAGAAAGCTCCTATTACTAATTAATATATAAGATCAATAGTCAACATTTCTTGTAAGAACATTTCAGTTCGTTTGAAAATACATTTTCAATGTCTTTACAATTCTGAAGCATTTGAAAGATACACAGAAAACTGAAACGGCATGAATAGTCATGGTGCAGATCCCCTTTGCCATATCAAAGTTTGAAAAAGAAAGCAGTTCATGTCCAAGTTCCCAACTAGTATAAACTGATACAATTCTGACGAATTCATTAACTTCTGCTGGAGATCTGGCCCAAACATAAGAAAAAGCTAGAATGTTAACGTTTAAACAGCTGTATCCTAATTCTGCTGCTACTAGACTGGATAATGGGTTGCCAGGTTCACGGCACCGGGTGCAGCTCCCTATGTAATATCTAACTTCAGTAAGTACCAGCTTAACCTCTAGCTGATTATCAGCCAGTGGCGTTTTGTTCTTATTGTGCAATATGGGTTCCTTGGTGTCTTCTTTCTACGCCAATGACAAGTGGATTTTCTCACCAGTGTTCCTGAACTTGCAGTTTATGTTTGGCTCGGACAGATTGCTAAAGCCTTGAAAGCTAGAATTTGAAGCGTACTGCTTGATTCTTGAGCATTTTTATGGTCGGATTCCTTCCTATTTTAAAAGGCGAAACCACTGTTACAGTTGTTTTGATCAAAAGGTTTTAGCTCTACAGTCACATCCCCTCCCGCCTCAGTAACACACCTCACAAGTCTAAAGCCTATGGAGAGCTCTTCTCCACTTTTATTTTTCGCATGTTCTTCATAGACCATTGATGTGTGAGTCACCAGTACAGAAGAATATTGCAGCAGGTTCAGCCAAATAATTTCTGGAACAAGTGACATATCTGTAGAATAATGGGTGTAGCCAATGCCTCAACATTTTAAGTGTGATTTTTTTTTTTTTTAACTGAAGTAAAAAATTGGAGTTTTCCTTTGAGGTTAAAACAGGATAAAGGAGGAATATGCGCTCTGTAAATTTCTCTGCATATGCTGAAAGCAAATAGACTTGTGCACAAGTCATTAATTATTAAATTGAAATTAGCCCTTCTAAGTGAATAAATAATTTTCATTGACCCTAATTATGTGCTGTCACAGAGGGCCAGACATTAACTCCAGCTTAAATTCGTACAAATCAAGACAATATCCCTAACTTCATCAGAGCCCTTTTACATTGCTTGCTGTTGTCCAAGCTCTTCCAAACATCTGAAACATCTGAGGACAAACATCTGATTCTCATGTCAGCAGCAAAAGACTTGATTTTATACACAGGAGCCTTGGCCTCTCAGGAAAAGTAGACAGCACTGCTTGGCTTCTTTCTTGTCTGCCTCCCCCAAAGCTATTCCCTGGAAGACAGACCTGGTGCCTCCAGCCTCAGTGTTCATCCCAGTGACCTTCCTGAACACATGTCATCTAGAAATTTAGTCAGCAGCTCTGCTGCTCGTCCCCCCATTGGAGCCACCTTTTCCTGCAGAAAAAAAGGCCTAGCTTGGCACCTTCTCATTCTTCAGAATGGATTTGTCTTGGTTTTTTTTTATCCTTAACTGAAACTGTAGGGTTAGATATGGGTCTGCTCCCCTGTCTCCCCACTCTCTTGGAAGCGCAGCTTTTCCTTCCTGGCCATGACCAGGACTGAAGGAAATGTCACCATGTGAGTCCATTGCAGGAGAAGACACCGTGTCTAATTCCTTACACGGAGGGACCAGCTAATCAGCCTGTAGGTCCCTGTCATGGCAGTGGGTCCCCCATGAATGGCGGCACTTGTCCGAGTGTCAGGCCCAGGACAGAGACATGGTTACCTGCTGTCTTTCTGCAGGGTGAAGCTAAGTGTCCCACATAAGCATGGTGGGCAGCCACCTCTCTTGCCTTCACTACCATCACTGTGTGGGCTGCCAGAGCAGGCACGTTCATCTGCAGCCCTTCTGCAGAGTTACCAGTCCTTTGATGTGACTGGGAGACCTTTTCTGATCATTTTAAAGTAGAGGCTGGCTCTTCTCATCTCCCACCGCAGACTGAGCAGAAATCAAGCCTCCTTCATACTTAGCATCTATCAGTGTCACTGAAAGCTGCAATCAGGCACTGCCACAGATTGGACAATAGGTCATAGATACCAAATCCCTTCATGTGCAATCTATGTTCTCTTTCCC